GTTAGAGCAGCACAAAGAACTAAGACAGTAGCTATCGGGCAAATAGGGGAATAGGAAAGTATTTTGACACCATTAAGTATGTTCCTTCAGCATCATATTCTTGTCATATTTTTTATTGTTCCTTTCTCATTTGCTACCATGTTGTTGTTGTTAGGTGCCATCAAGTCACCTCCGACTCATAATGACCCTATGTACAGAAGAACAAAACAGTGCCTGGTTCTGTGCCAACCTCACAATCCCTACTATACCTGAGCCCATTACTGCAGGCACTGTGTTGATCCATCTTGTTGAGGGCCTTCCCCTCTTTAGTTGACCCTCCACTTTACCAAGCATGACATTCTTCTCCAGAGAATGGTCCCTGCTGACAACATGACCAAAGTAGGTGAAATGAAGTCTTCCAAGGAGCATTTCAGCTGTATCTCTTCCAGGATAGATTTGTTAGGTTTTTTTTTTTAGCAGTCCACGGTACTTTCTGCATTCTTTGCCAACACCACAACTCAAAAGCATCAATTCTTCTTCGGTCCTCTTTATTCATTGTCCAGCTCCCATATGCATATGAGGTGATCAAAAATATCATGGCTTGGGTCAGGTGCATCTTAGTCTTCAAGGAGTTATCTTTGCTCTTCAGCATTTGAAAGAGGTCTTTTGCAACAGATTTGCCCAATGCAATATGTCTTTTGAAGTCTTGACTGCTGCTTCCATTGGCGTTGATTGTAGAACTAAGCAATATAAAGTCTTTGACAAGTTCAATCTTTTCTCCATCTATTGTGATGCTTCTTGTTGGTCCAGTAGTGAGGATTTTTGTTTTCTTTATATTGAGGTATAACCCATAATGCACACTGAAGTCTTTAATTTTCATCAGGAAGTGCTCCAAGTCATCCTTACTTTCAGCAAGCAAAGTTGTGTCTGTGTATTGCAGGTTGTTAACGAGCCTTCCTCCAATCCTAATGCCACATTCTTCTTCATATAGTCCAGCTTCTTGGATTTTGCTCACCATACATATTGAATAAGTATACTGAAAGGACACAACCCTGACACACTCCCTTCCTAATTTCAAACCATGCAGCATCCCCTTGTTCTGTTTGAATGACAGCCTCCTGGTCTGTGTACAAGTTCCTCATGAGTACAAGTAAGTGTTCTGGAATTTCCATTCTTCTCAATGTTATTCACAATTTGTTATGATCCATGCAATCGAATGCCTTTCCATAGTCAATAAAACACAAGTAAACATCTTTCTTTGAGCCAAAATCCATCTGACATTAGCTATGATATTCTTCATACCACATCCCCTTCTGAATCCAGTTTGCATTTCTGGAAGTTCTCTGTCTATATACTGCTGCAACCATTTTAAAATTATCTTCAGTAAGATTTTACTTGCATGTGATATTAATGATATTGTTCAATAATTTCCATATTCTGTGGGATCACTTTTCTTTGGAATGGGTACAAATATGGATCTTTTTCAGTCAGTTGGCTAGGTAGCTGTCTTCCAATTCTCTTGGCATAGATGAGTCAGTGCCTCCAGCAGGGCATCCATTTGTTGAAACATCTCAATGGGTATTCCATTGATTCCCAGAGCTTGTTTTTTTGCCAATTCCTTCAGTGCAGCTTGGACTTCTTCCTTCAATACCATTGGTTCTTGACCATACGTCACCTCCTGAAATGGATGATCATCTATCAGTTCTATTTAGTATAGTGACTCTGTGTATTCCCTCCATCTTCTTCAGATGTTTCCCGCATCATTCAACATATTGCCTATGGAATCTTTCAATATTGCAATTCGAGGCCTAAATTTTTTCCTCAGTTCTTTTAGCTTGAGAAATGCTGAGCATGTTCTTCTCTTCTGGTTTTCCAACTCCAGGTCTTTGTACATCTCATTGTAATAATTGACTTTGTCTTCTCAAGCTGCTCTTTGAAATCTTCTGTTTAGCTCTTTTATCCTGTTGATTCTTCCATCTGCTGTAGCTACTCTCTGTTCAAGGGCAAGTTTCAGAGTCTCTTCTGACATCCATTTTGGTCTTTCGTCCTTTCCTGTCTTTTTAATGACCTCTTGCTTTCTTTATGGATGATGTTCGTGATGTCATCCCACAATTCTGGTTTTTGGTCATTGGTGTGCATCAAATCTATTCTTTAGATGGTCTCTAAATTCAGAAGGGATATAATCAAGGTCATATTTTGGCTCTCGTAGACTTCTTTTAATTGTCTTCAATAATTAAAATTAACAATTGGCTCTACTCTGAGGGGGCAGCTCTTCTCCAGTCATGTTTTGAGTGTCTTCAGACCTGAGGGGCTCATCTTCCGGCACTACATTGCACAATGTTTCACTGCTATTCATAAGATTTTCACTGGCCAGTTCTTTGAGAAGTGGATGGCCTCCTCCTTCTTCTGAGTCTGTCTTAGTCTAGAGGGTCCTCTGAAACATGTCCACCACGGCTAACCTGCTGGCATTTGAAACACCGGTGGCATATCCTCAAGCCTCATAACACTCAAGCCATCACAGTAGGACAAACTGACAGACAAGTTTGTCTCCCCTATCTGTTCTATACTGCTCTGTTCATTTCCTGGTCTTCCCCACCCTGCTCACTTACTCAGCCAGCCCCAGGGGCAAACACCCGCCTTCTGCTGGTCCCAGGGCGGGATTACTGGCACTTGCGGCCCAGGGGCAGCTCCAGGCACGCAAACACCTGCCTTCCACCGGTCGCACTGGTCCTGGGGCTGGCTACCATAATGTATATTAGAAAAAAAAAAAAAAAAAAAGCTGCTGTTGAGTTAATTCTGACTCATGGAGACCCCATGAGTTGCAGAATAGAACTACATTACATAGGTTTTTCAAGGCTGTGATCTTTCGGAAGCAGATCGCCAGGATTTGCTTCCAAGGTGCTCCTGGATAATTTTGAACTGCCAACCTTCTGCTTAGTAGCTGAGTGCTTAACCTTTTGTACTACCAAGGTCACCATTCATAATGCATAGACCTTCCATATGAAAAATAGTTTTATTTTCATATCTACACCTTTCTGTTCCATTCCTTTTTCAAGTAAGAGAAAGTGGTAGATTACCCCTTTTCACCACACACACTCACAGTCATGCACATATCCATAAAACTCTTGCCCAGATATGTGTATGAGCATACATGTGTGAGTGTATAAACAATCCAAAGATATATATAAATAACACCATGTATTACTTAGGGGTATGCATCTCTATTGAAAGACTGATTGATACTACATAGATAAAAAAATAACTGACACACACATCATCTCCCAAATTCTGCTAAAATTCAAAGCTTATTATAGTTATGACAGAATCTGTCTCAACTGAGTAACAAGTCTTTAAAAATGCATTATATTTCAAAATAGTTTTGAACAAGCATTTATCCCCGTTATTAACACTATATTGGAGTTAGAAAAAAATGTAACTAAGATGAGAGAATTGCGGTACCAAGGGTGATATAAGGGCTTTTCATCTGGGAGACTGTTTTCTAAGCTCAAGGTAAGGTGTGGTCTAACAGAACTCCAGAAAAATAACTGCTTCACTACCAAACTAGCAAGATGAGATACTGAAATATTCAAATTGCAATAAGGAGCAACCCTAAAGATCAAACATTTATTGGATTGACATCTTTTAACAGAAGTGCATGAAGAGGGAGGAAGATTTAAGTCAAGGACTGGGAAATCAGACCCACTGTTCCTTGCAAAATCTCTTGCCCTCTTCAAACAGAATTCTAAAGTGCTGCCCAGAACAGACAGAAGACCTCATCTTCTCTTGAAGATCCTGGGCTTAGATTAAACTTCCCAGGGAAGCTAGGAAAGATGTTTGTCATTATGTAGCTTGCACATCATGGTGCTCAAAGCACCTGGGATGAAATATATAATCCATGCTTAAGGGTAACCTTCTGGAAGTGGAAAATTTATCCTCACAGGATAAACCAGAAGGTGGGTATTGTTCACTGCTGGGCTTCCAGGATGCAGAAATGCAGTGCAGAGTGGTGAAACTCTTGATATCCGCCTCTCTGTAGGAGTTCCTCCACAGAGTTTTTGAAAGTGATGGAAGGGAGAGACCTGAGATGGTGACCTCCCAGAGTAGTCACCAACTACAAACTATGGAAGGGGAAGAACTCCTGTTGATATAACAAACACATAGTTTTTAATGTTTCAGTAATCTCTTCTAGCCAATGTTTTAAAAATCGATTGACTGGTTCATATTTGAATAAAGCTAGAAGGCTGTCTCAAGAGTCTTGATACAATTTAAGGGTCTCTGTAACTTAGAAAGGAGATCTGGTGACATAGTGCCTAAGGCATCTGACTGCTAACCAGAAGGTTGGTGGTTCAAAGCCACCAGCCACTCCTCAGAAGGAATATTGGGCAATCTACTTCCTTAGAGATAACACTTCAGAAACCCAGAGAGGGGTCGCTATGAGTCGAATTGACTCAATGACAGTGAGTTTTGTTTTGTTTTTGGTAACTTGGAAGGATTTGTAATTTCAGCAGTACTATTTTCTTTTGTTTCTGGTCATCCTGAAATTAGTTTTTACTTACAATTTGAGAACCATAAGAATTCCAGAACAGTTAAAAAAGCTATATAGAACTTCATACAAGCAGAATCTGGTAAGCTAAATCAGAATACAGTTTAGGGGTCAGCTGCAGGGATAGGTGAGTGTGGATAGTATCTCGGGCCCCACAGGCTGACCAGTGTCCCTGGGGAGTAGTCACCATAGTAAATTATTTTAAATAAGTTTGTTCGTTTTAAACCAAGTCCATCAAGTGACACTCTGACTCAAACTCAAGTTGATAAAAAGTCTGCTGCCCTCACAGCCAATATCCATCTGTGAGGGAATATTTGGTGTGGAGGGCAGGAAACAATGCACCCTGTGTCTTCAGGCTGACTCTGGACTGTCGGCATATTCTGCTTCTGCGATGGCTTCATTTGCTGATGTTGCTGTTGTTACGACTGCTTCCAAAGAGATGTCTTGAGCAGCTTCATCATGAGGCACAATAAGCTATTCACATGTGAGTATCCTGGACAGGGGTGTCATCCTGTGAATAGAGAAGGAAAGAATGAATCAGGAAGAGGGTGGGGAAATCTTGACATTCAGCATATCTGCTTGGGGGATGCTAGATCAAGCAATAATAATAATAGCAGTCACAGCCATCATAAGGAGCCCTAGTGTGGTGCAACAATGAAGCTCGCAGCTGCCATGTGGCAGTTTGAACCCACCCAGTGCATCTGAGGAAAAATCTGGCTATCTACTTCCATAAAGATTACAGCCAAGAAAACTCTATGGGACAGGTCTACTCTGTGATATGGGGTCACTATGAGTTGGAATCAACTCCACTCAATGGCACACAACAATAGTCATACTGGTAATAATGTATGCATCAACTCAACAGCAATATGAATTAGATACTTTCATTAAGTCTGATGTATAGATGAGCTAATTAAAGCATAGGCAGGGAAGTGACTTCTCTTAGGTCACACAGCTAATAAGTGGTAGGTCAGGATTTCAACAGAAAAGGATGAGCTAGAAAGAAGGTAGAAATACATAAGAATAAATGAGTGGGAACGTGTAAGCTCTCACTTAAAATGCACTCCCCCCAAAAATATTGAGAAAATGACCATAAAATGGTAGTAGGGGTGGAAGCTAGAGTACAGCAGACAAGGGCATTTCCTTTGAAGAGGAGAAAGGGCATTTCCTTTGATTCAACGTGAAAGGAGACATTGAAGACTGGGCAGTTTTCTATTTAGTCAAGTAGGAGGCAAAGTCATTTGCAGACAGTGAGAGGATGAGGTAGGATTGGGAGTTTGAAGAATGTGGAGTGAGAACTGAGGATGCCAGAGATGCAGTGAGAGGACTTCCAGGGAGCAGTGTGGAATGGAGACAGCCCAGCTGGGTTGGTAATAGTTTATAACAGATCCACGCAGTTTGGTTCTGTAAATTCCTCCAGCGATACAAATCTTGGCAAAGACAGTGGATGTGAGAGTGGTTTACTCTGGGGATTATTATGGAGAGACAGAGCAGGCCAAAAGCAAGAGGGAGGTTAAGATGCAGAAAGACAGCACTTAAATGGCTGGTCATAGATGAGGTCTGGGTGGGCAGGGTGACAGGTTGACCCCAAGGGGCACAATGAAGGACATGTTCAGAGACTAAGGGAGGGCTTGAGGTAGGAATGTTGGAGAGCACAGCCCCAAGAGAAGTGAGAAGGGATAGGACCAAGAACTGAGTTTTAGTGATCCTCCCGGTTAAGCAAGAGAGAAGAAAGAGGAGAGAGCAAAGTAAACACTTAGTTACAAAGGCAAGGGGAGTCTCCAGAGAAGGTTGTGTCTTATCAGCTGAGAGAGAAAAGAATTTCACATCTAATGAGAAATCAAGAAGAATGACTTGGAAAAGAAATTGAATGGGGCAATTAGGAAGTCAGCACTTACTGTAAGTACAACAAAGTCTCGGATGTGATGGCAAAACATTGCTAATGACTTTGTTTGGAGAAGTTTGTCTTCGGCATACCTGAGTGCCCAGCACAGTACTGGATAATAATGAGTGTTTGAAAGACCTTGTTAAATTTATTTAGAGTTTTATAATTGGATCTTATTCAATGCCCTCTGTCAGAGCTACTTTACTTATAAAGAAAGTCTTAAGTGCTGTGATTTGTTATGTCCAGCCTGTCTCATGATTGAAATTCCCAAGATGGCTCATTCTTTAAGCATGAAATGTTAAAATACTTGGATAGGCAACATAATAGGTAGTTAACTCTTTATAGCACTTTCATAATCTGACACCATTGGTCTATTCATGAAACCTGCTCCTGCTTTTTCTTGAAAAGTGAATTGCTCCATCCTTTGTGCCTCACATGATATGGCTGACCCAGGCAGAATCACATTTTTATACTCTCATGTTTATTTGTTTATTACACTTCCACCTTTTTTTATCTTTGAACCCCTAGTATCTCTCATAGTATTTGGATTAATTGGTGCTTGGTTAATGGCCCCTAAACCCAATGACTTGTCTCCTTACAAGAAAAAAAAAAAAAAAAAAAGGGCGATTTAAGACACACAGACCTAGGGGAAGCCATGTGAAGACTGAGGCAGAGATTGGAGCCATGCACCTACAAACCACAGGTTGCTGACAACCACTAGCAACTGGGTGAGGCAAAGAAGGATTCCAATCTGGTGGTTGCTAGCAGCCACCAGAAGCTAGGAGAGAGGCATGGAGCAGATTCTCCTTCGGAAGCTCCAAAGGCAAGCAGCCCTGCTGACACTTTTAGTTTGAACTTCCCACCTCCATGGTGGTGGAGGTGTGCCGTGGAGTCAGATGCGACTCACAGCGACCCCTCCTTGGGTTTCCAAGGCAGTATCACTATGGAAGTAGATTGCCCCATCTTCCTTCCAAGGAGCGGCTGGTGGGTTTGAACCGCCAGCCTTCTGGTTAGCAGTCAAGTGCCTTTTGGCACTATGCTACCAGAGGTATCTGTTGCTTTAAGCTGCCAAGTTTGTAGTAGAGACAGGACTAGGAAACTAAGACAGGAGATGAGTAATTTTAGCAAAGAGTTGATCTAAAAATCAAAACAATTCCTAGTTGTTGTACAGGGAATGGACTGTCAAGAGGAAGCCAGGATGCCATAAAAAACTACTGCTTAGGCTGGGAAGAAGCTGTTGGTGGCTTGAGTGAATGAATGAATGAATGCACTAATAAAAAGGGAAGGAACAAACACTTGAGGGTGACTGAGTGGGCAAGACTGTGGGGGAGTGGGGAGACACTGAACTTTTCTTGTGGAATTTCTAAGTCTTCCCAGGGCTGGTTCTGCTCCTACAGCACAGATGGGTGGGCTCAAGATGGGCTTCCTGGGAACTGGTGGAGAGGATACAGATTAAAGAAGAAGGTCCAATAAGTGTGGGCCCAGACAGGAAGGCAGGTGCTGAGTTATCTCCCTGTTCTCCTGTATAACAGGTGTTCAATACCTGTGAGAGAGTGGAAAAAACACAAAACTTCCTTCTTTAAAGGAATACAACCTTCAGCCAGAAACTTTCCCAACTCGTTTCTCCCACTCTCCACACATAAATTGTTTGTCTTGAGCTTATGCTTTGGGCGTCTTTTGGACTACCACCCAGCTCCCCTCCTGCCTGGCTACCTGACAGCCCATCTGCCCATTGTGGAGCCCTGGTGGCACAATGGTTAAGTGCTGAACTTCTAAACAGTGGCCATTTGAACACCCAGCAGCTCTGCAGGAGAAAAGACCTGCTGTTCTGCTCCTGTAATGATTTCAGCCTAGGAAACCTGCAATGTAATAAATGACATAGTGTGTCTTTTCTAGCCATAAGTCTTTGTAAACCCCCTGGTGGAATTTGCTGTGAGCAACTGAGTAGCTCCTGATAGTTAAAATTTTTCACCTGGGGTATTTCTGTTGGGAGCAGCACAAAGTAAATTTCTGGGAAGTTAGCTCTCTCTCAGGCATATAGAATTTTGATGTTGGGATTGGTTAGTGGTCACTCTGCCAGGCTCAAAAGGAGCCCTTCTAGAGGCAGAAGAAGTTTCTTTGACTGCTGGCTGAGAAAGATGTGCTGCTGAGAGAAATGTGCTACTGAGAGACACGTGCTGCTGAGAGAGACATCGAGAGACATGCACTGCTTGGAGAGAGACTGAGAGAGACTGTTGGCTGAGAGACAGTGGGGTGAGAGAGACTGAGCGCTGTTCCTGAACTTGAATTGTAGCCTGGTGCTTCCCAAATAAACCCCATAATCTTTGAGTTCTGTGTGGCCACTGCAGTAAATTATCAAACACAGCAAAGAGGTAGTGGGTGCTGCAGGAGGAATAGTTGGTGTTAGGGTTGATGAAAGGGCTAGAGGGAGGCAGCATTTCTGGCCTCACAGGAATAGGCCTTGGGCTATTGATGGTGATTCTTCCTCTTGTGGGATTAGAGGAGGTCAGAAGATGCGACTTCACTGCCCCTTTGGCAAAACCCCTTGCGGCAGTTCTATTCTCACCTTCCATGCAGGTTTGCAGTGGGGGGGGGGGGGAAGGGGCTCTGATGGCATAGTGCCTAAGGCATTTGAATGCTAACCAGAAGGCAGGCAGTTCAAACCTGCCAGCCACTCCTTGGAAGGAAGGTTGGGCAATCTACTTCCATAGAGATACCACCTTGGAAACCCAAGGAGGGGTCGCTATGAGTCGGATTCAACTCGATGGCAGTGGGTTTGTTCTTTTTATATACAGGTTTGATTTCTGGCCAATGCACCTCAAGTGCAGCCACCACCCATTTATTAGTGTAGGCTTGTGGTTGCTGAGCAGATTTCAGGGGAGAAGAGAGAAAGACTAAGACAAATGGGCCTGGAAATCTACTTCTGAAAATCAGCCAGTAAAACCTTGTGGGTGATATGGTCTGATCTCCTAGTGCATGAGATCTCCATGAGTCAACAGCAGTTAACAACATGGAATCAGGGAGAAGCTGGAGAGAACCTGAGACACAACTTCCCTTTTCATCCTTTTGTCTTCTCACAGATCAGAAACAGCCTGTCCCGACACAGTGTGGCACGAGGTGGGAGCCTGGCACCTTTGTTATTGCACTGAGCTGATTTATGATGGGATTGTAAGGAATAGGGCATGTGATGAAGGCAGAGAAGGCTAGTTCCATGGCTGGAGCCTGGCACTGCCCTTCCAGGGTGAAGCTGGGCCTCTTACCTGTGCCTTGGGGACTTCTTCCCCACTCAGGGCCTCACTGCTGGTCTCCAACTGGGCAGGGCCAGTCCCAGGGTGGCATCCTGTCTCAAGAACTCCAGTCTTCTCCTCTTCCTTTTCTTTGTCTTTCTCCTGCTCTGAGGTGTTTCTGTTCTCCATTTCTCCAGAGGGATTTTGGGAGACCTCCTCCCCCACAGCTCTCTCCTCTGGCTTGTTTGCATCTTGGCTCTTTTGCCCAGCCTTATCCTCATCATTTCCTGCCCTCTCCTCCTTCATCTCCGTAGACTTTTCCACCTCCGCTTCCTTACCAGCCATGGTTTCCTCTACGGGGCTCCCACACCCATTCTCTGCCTTTGGGCTGGAAGTTTGGGGTGTGTGCTCCTCCTCTGCTGAATGCCCCACAGCCTTTGCCTGTTGCTTGGCTTCCTCTGTAGCCCTGCCCTTCTCCTCAGGCATCTCTGTCCTGCTGGGTGTCCTCCTCAGAGGAGGCTTTTCGTCTGACCCCAGGCTTCTGCTCACTTCCTTTCTCACTGCTCCATCACCAGAAGCAGAAGGTTCTGGGGCCTTGCTCTTGGATGTGAACACCTCATCCCCATTCTCTTCCTTGGCTCCATTCTCCTGAGATGACTCCGTGGCCCTGTAGTTTCCAAGGTCCCCACAGTCAGACTGAGACCTTCGGAATCGCCTGGAGGGAGGGCGCCTTTTTATCGAGCCCCTTGTCCGCACCTGGAAAAAAACAGTAAGGAAAATTATTGAAAGCCTGTAAAACAAACAAACAAACAAACAACAACAAAAAAAAAATGCCAAGAGGAAAACTGCATATCCTTTCCACACTAGTCTAAAGCATTGTTTAATGAGCCCAGCTAAGTATTACTTAATTTTCTATGCAACTGTACCACTGTTTGCTATTATTATTATTAGTGAAAGCCCTATAAAATTATATGTCAACTTGCAGATTTTTATCTTGAGAAGATACAAATGCTTTCTATCCAGTTTTTTTAAAATTTAACTATGATTTGACTGTCCTATAAAACATTAACCAGTTTTTTGTCTAACTTAGAAATTTTATCCTAATATTTGTTCTGTTAAAGTGTCTTAGTAGCCCATTCTTTGAATCAGCTTTACCATCTTACAGGTTTCTTTATAAATTAACAAGCTGAATAAAACCTATGTATATTTTGTATGAAGTCATGGTTTTCAACTTTTTGAAAATGATAGTTTGACAAAAGTGAATTGAACAGAGAAGAAATTAGAGTCCTGCTGATGGCCTGGCCCTGGGACAAGGGCCACATGGGTGCTGAGTTGGACAACTGATGACCTGCTCCCATGGTTTGCCCTCCTCTATCCTCTCCACCTCCCATGAAGCTGGCTGATACTGAGAGTCAACCAGCCAGGGGCCTTTGCTTTGCAAAAGGCAGATCCCCCATCATCAGAAGCTGCACCTGAGGAGTAGCTAGCACAGCTGCCTGAAATGATCTCCTCTTCAGGGAGTATGTGCATCTCAGAATCAGGCCTTGTCTTGGCCCAGTGGTCTTTGTCAGAAGGTAGTGAAAATGTTCAGATAGATGCCCTACTTTACTCAAGTGTGGTGTCTTTCAAATTTTATATGTCAATTATGTTTTTGTGAATCTTGTTTTCCAACCACTTTACATGTTGGTGTTTGGAAAGTGCTAGCTTATTTCTTAGGTTTGCAATGAATACTTGGCTGATAAGTCTTCCACAGAGAGCCAGTCTGCAGTGTAGCAGGACCTTCATGACCAGCAGGTTTAGAAACAATTTTGCCTGCTCCCTTGCTGCCTGTCAGAAGACTGGAGCTCCTTGATATTAGGACCAGGTAGCAGCACCTCCATGTCTCTGTCCTACTCACTACTGAGAAGATGAGCTGTCCACTCAGTTGTTGTCCACCTTCAGGAGTTTCTCCACCACCCTGGGCTGGAGGATCTGTACATTATCTCCAGCAGCAGGCTTGAGCCTGCTTCACCACCACATTACCACCAGCAGCTTTGTTTCCTTGGGTTTTACCTGTGTCTACTCACTTGACCTTTTTTTCTTTTTTTTCTAGATAGATTTCCTTGAATGACCTAAAAGATCCCACTCTTTTCATCCTTAATTATAATGCCACACCCATTTATCATTCCCTGAAATCAGATCCCATGGAACCCTGGCTCCTGCCTGGCTCTGGCCCAGATTTGCTGGGTCCCTGTCTGGGCTGTTATTGGGCTGTTTCTATGAAGCATAGCTCCTTGTGGTAAGGTCTGGAGTTTGATGAAAGCACACACTAAGTATTAGGGCAGCATCTACAGAGATGAGCTCTATCATTTATCTTTTTGCAAAGGAACAGTTTCTTAATTTTGCATGTTCTTAAACTGGGGCAAGCTGAAGTAAGAATGATTTGAGCCAAATTGGGGCACTTAGGATCATTCACATAATGTCAGAACAGGATGCTTTGGAGTCTTAGTGACCCTTGTCAGGACTTTAGCTATTACATTCAGTTTTTTAAAAAAACATTTTATTATTATTTCTTTTGTTGTTGAGAATATATACAGTGAAACATACATCAATTCAACTATCTCTACATGTATAATTTGGTGACATTGGTTATGTTCTTCGAATTATGCACCCATTCTCACCCTCCTTTCCTGAGTTGTTTCTCCCCTATTAACATAAATGCACTGCCCACTAAGCTTCCTTTCTAATCTTTTGAGTTGCTGTTGTCAATTGGACCCCATATAAATAATTCTTTAAAGGAGCACAGTTTCCAAGGCAGACATTCTTCACTAAATAAGCTAAACTGTTGTTTGGTTTAAAGAAGACTTCAGGGGGTATTTTTAGTTTAAGGGTTAAAGATTATCTCGGGGCAGTAGTTTTGGGGGTTCATCAAGCCTCCATGGCTCCAGAAAGTCTGGATTCTATGAGAATTTGAAATTCTGTTCTGCATTTCCCCCCCTTTGATCAGGATTCTTTTCTAGAATCTTTGGTCAAAATGTTCAGTAATGGTAGCCAGGCACCATTCAGTTCTGGTCTTTTAGCAAAGGAAACAGTTGTTCATGGAGGCAATTAGCCACACAATCCATTTCCTCCTCCTATTCCTTATTCTCCTTTTTCTTCTGTTGTTCTAGGTGAATAAAGACTAATTATTGTGCCTTGGGCGGTGGCTTGCCTCTAGTTTTTGACATAACTCTGTGCAGCTGGGATCATCCTGAGTACCCATATCATTGTCCACAAAAGACAGAGCACTCTATCCCTAAGCCTTTCAGGTGGATGGCACAGTTGTAGGAAGAGGAGATGAGAGAGGCAGCTGGGGAGAGGGGTGATCTTTAGGGAAAGCTTACAAAGAAGCAGAGAAATTTCACTTCCATTAAAGACCAGCTCTGACTCCAGCTTCAAATATTTCCTGCCTTCTCCAACACAGCAACAGGGTAGAGAAAATTTAAGATTGTCCAGTCCCCATATTCCCAAAGCAATACCACAATACTTTTGACCCAGACTTTACCTTATTGTAACAGGGCAGATGACTACCTTCAGGAGGCTGGTCAAAGCTGACAGGCACCTCCTCTGGCTCGCTGGGTCGAGACTTCACTCCAGGGCTACTGGGAGTGGAAGGCGGGCTGTGAAATGGTGACACCATGGCCTTGAGTCCAGGGCTCTTGGGTGAGGCCCCAGGCAGGAGGGCTGCTGGATCAAAGGTTAAATTGGCCTGTTAAGAAAAGATTACGAATTTTAAGTAGGGGTGGAGAGAAGACAAGAGCCGTTATTTTAGCTTGTTGGTTACCTGGACTCAGAACTCGTTGACACTAGGTAACATAAGACTTTTCATGTTATTTCCCAACCAGTTATTCACTGTTTTATCACATCCTCTTGGAAGCATCGGCTACTCAATCCATCTCCTGCTACCGAGCTTGTAACAAGCTGCTTTCCAGATAGTCGAGGCAGCATCAATGTGGATCCACCAAAAATGCCCTAGAAAACGCCCTGAGTTATAGACATAGAGGTAAAAATAGCAACCGGCAGGCACCTGTTGGCACCAGGATCTCATAGTATGCCATGTTTCTAGGCAGAGTCAAAAATAGTTTTTTTTGTTTGTTTTAGCTTTTTATTGTGATTTAGGTGAAAGTTTACAGAGCAAATTTGTTTTCCATTCATCAGTTCATACACATTTTGTTTCATAACATTAATTGTGATCCCTGAAATGTAATAGCTCTCTTTTCACTTCTTCCCCGTGGTTATCTTTTCTCTGTGTCATCCCTTCATATGCAGTCCTGCCCTCTGAGCTATCTCCCTGTGCAAATGCTGCCCTTCTGATATCCTATGGTTGATTGTTCTAAGAAGTGCACCTTCTTGGTGTAATTGTTCACTTTGTAGGCCTATCTATTGTTTGGCTAAACCTTAAGCCATGGGTAGGAGTTCATTTCCAGGCATGAAGGATAACTAATGGCCACAGTATCTCTCAGGGGTTTCACCAGTCTCTATCAGACTAGTAAGCCAAGT